CAGTACCAGGCAGATTCCAGTCAGACTGGCTGAGGTACAGTGGGGCACTGCTTCTTGGGGTGACTCCTCTCACCTATTTGGACTGCTATGCCAGGGCTTACTGAGGCTGTAGGTATGTGAGCTCTATCACTCTGCCAATGGCTTAACCACACCCATTCAGTTCTTTGGGCCTATTTAGTTGCCATTCCATCCACGAAGCCTTTTTTGTTACTGCTTAGGGCACTTGAACTGGTGTGTCTCTTGTGTGAAACTGTCAGCTTCTTTGGTTTGTTTGGTTGGCGATGCAGGGGCCTGAATCCATGCTCTTACATGATGAAAGCGACCATTCTCCCACTGAGCTATATTCCTTGCCCACTTTTTATTTTCTGAGACAGGATCTAAGTTGCCCAGGCATACACTGCAGCCTGAACTATCCAGTCTGGACCTACGGGCACAGCTGAGACCGTGCCAGGCGTGGCAATGCTAACTAACCCATGTGGCCTTCAGGCCTCAAGCAGTGGCTTACATTTAGGGCAGCCGTGTACCCTCTTGGCTTTTTAGGTGGACTTTGAGCAGCTGACTGAGAACCTGGGGCAGCTGGAGTGCCGGAGCTGGGCCGCTGAGGACAGCCTTAGGAGCTTGGCAAAGCATGAGCTAGCCCCAGCTCTGCGTGCCCGCCTCACCCACTTCCTGGCACAGTGTACCCGCCGGGTAGCCATGCTAAGGGTGGTGCACCGCCGAGTCTGCAACAGGTAGGGCCAGAGGGGGGGATTGCCACCGCCACCCTTTAAACATCAGGCAGGACTCCAATCTCCCATTCCTTCCGACCTGCCTAGGTTCCATGCCTTCTTGCTCTACCTGGGCTACACTGCACAGGCAGCCCGGGAAGTACGAGTCATGCAGTTCTGCCACACACTGAGAGAGTTTGCACTTGAGTACCGGACTTGTCGGGAACGGGTACTACAGCAGCAGCAGAAGCGCGCTACCTACCGTGAGCGCAACAAGACCCGGGGTCGCATGATTACGGAGGTAAATGGCCCTTGCAGGTCTTGCCTGCCACCCCGTGGTTCCCTTTCCTTTCCCTTACTCCTGACCATCCTTCTCTCCCTGTTTAGACAGAGAAGTTCTCGGGTGTGGCTGGGGAGGCCCCCAGTAACCTGTCTGTCCCAGTGGCTGTGGGTAGTGGGCCAGGTCGGGGTGACGCCGACAGCCATGCCAGCATGAAGAGTCTGCTCACCAGCAGGCCGGAAGACAACACGCACAGCCGACGTAGCAGAGGTGGGTAGGACTCGTAGCTGCTCTTAGAGGGTGTTGTAAGGCCACCTTAGTCTGACTTGCCCCCGGCCTCCCTTAGGCATGGTCCAGAGCAGTTCCCCAGTCACGCACACAGCGGCGGAGCCCCCCACTGCATCCCCGGAGGAGACTTCAGCTTCCAGTTTACCCAGTGACACATCGGATGAGATCATGGACCTGCTGGTACAGTCAGTGACCAAGAGCAGTCCTAGAGCCCTAGCTGCGCGGGAAAGGAAGCGCTCTCGTGGCAACCGGAAGTCCTGTGAGTGTCCCTTTACAGGCACACTGACTGCTCCCCTCGGCCCCCTAATGAGGCCCCTGAGACCTGTAACCGTGTTCTGTCCCTGCAGTGAGACGGACATTGAAGAGTGGGCTTGGAGATGACCTAGTACAGGCGCTGGGACTAAGCAAGGCTCCAGGCCTGGAGGTGTGAGGCTGTCACCTGGGTGCAGCAGCAGGAGACTGAGCACAAAGAGGGCCCGGAGCCTGGTTTCAGAAGCTTGCGCCCAGGAACCAGTATTGTGAGCAGTATTAGTGTGTGTGTGTGTGTGTGTGTGTGTGTGTGTGTGTGTGTTTAGCATGTGTACATGTACACGTATTCTGCCTGTGTGAGTTCCTTATTCGGAACAAAATAAAGTTTACCTAACTGATCCAAGAGCCTTTTTCCTCTCTCAAGATCCCTATCCAGCTGAGCCAAGAAAGGTATATCATGGGTGTAATTTTTCCTATTTTGTACGTTTTCATCCACACAGCCATTAGCCACATTTGAAACAATTTATTTAGTAATCCTATATTCCAGGCTGCTTTTTGCCCTGACACTAGGCCCTCACTGCTCCAGGCATGGGGCCATGCAGCCAAAGAGAGCCAAGCAGCGCCCAGCAGCCTCTGGCCACAGTAATGATGGCTATAACCGCTTCATCTGCCGCCGCTCCTGTCGGCGTTGTCGTTTCTCATTGAGCTCTGGCGCTGGGACTCCACTGTCTGCTGTGAACCAGGGGCCTAGCACATTTACCCACAAGAGGTAAAGGGCCCGGCCTGGAGCCTGAGGGAGAAAGGTAACTTGAAACCCTTTGCAAAGACTAGCCAAAAGACAATTGGGGAGAGTTAAGTACTCTTTCTTAGGAGGCCCAACTCTCTAGCCCACGTACCAGAAGCCAGAAGGACCAGATGTAGAGGGAGAAGCAGCTTAGCACCTGGACAATGGCTGTCAGTAGGATCACATCCTTAAGGTGCCTGTGGATAGAAGGAAGGCTGCCAAGGATATATGATTGGCCCTAGTTCTGCCCCATTCCACTCTGCTCAGGTTGAAAGTAGTTGTGAGTCTTGGGCTGTGTGGGCCCCAGCGCCCCAGCCCTGGGGCCGCTCACCTGGGCTGGCGATGGGGGACACTCACTCTGCCATGCCCTGCTCCATGTTGAGGTCCATGCCACCATCCATCAAGGACCCATCCTCAGAGAAGGATGCCCGAGCCATCGAGCTCATAGAGTGGTAACTAGCCCCATATACTGCCAAGCTAAAGACCAGGGCCATCTGTAGAACAAGAAAAGGCTCTAGAAAGGCTAGCCACTGACCCTATGCACTCACTCACTTTCCAAGCTGGGCATACTTACCCAGGCCCAAAATGAGGCAGATGAATAGAAGAAAACCAGGTTCACAAGGCAGTATATGGCCTGTAAGCAAACATTGGATCAGGCTGGGGTTGAAAGCTACCCCTAAATCATAGGCTTTCCTCAATTCTGATCAAGAACCCATGTCAGTCCCAGAAAAGCAGCCTTAGTAGAAGGTGGGAATAGTCAAGCTCAACTGGGACTCATTGCCTAATTTTGTTGTTTCGTTTTGTTTCCCCTTCATTTCTTTCTTTATGTTTGCTTCTACTTCTAGTTCACACTTCCTCTGTGCCTGGCTACATTTTAAAAGAGTGTTTAGGGGCTGGAGAGATGGCTCAGAGGTTAAGAGCACCTACTGCTCTTCCAAAGATCCTGAGTTCAATTCCCAGCAACCACATGGTGGCTCACAACCATCTATAGTGAGATCTGGTACCCTCTTCTGGCATGAAGCTGTACATGGCCTGTACATGTATAGGCAGAACAATGTATACATAATAAATCTTAAAAAAATAATAAATAAAAGAATGTTAAAAAATATATCTTATGAGTGTTTTTCCTGCATGTATGTATGTGCACCATGTGTCCACCTGGTACCACAGAGGTCAGAAAAGGGCATTGGATCCCCTGGATCAGATGGCTGTCAGCTATCCTGTGGGTTCTGGGAATGGAACCCAGGTCCCCTGAATGAGCAACAAGTGCTCTTAACCATTCAGTCCCCGGATACTTAGGGGACAGGGTTGCTGGTGGTTGGTGATCAAACCTAGCTAGGGGCTTTACTACTGAGCTAAACTTTCTGCTCTCATTCCTCTTTCCTTGAGACCCGAGTCTTGCTGTGTTGCTCAGGTTATCCCTTAACACTCTTGGACCTCTGTCTGCCAATTAGATAGAAGTACAGTTATGTACCACTTTGGCAGGCTTCTCTCATTCCCCCACCCTTCTTCTTCTTCTTTTTTTTTTTTTTTTTTTTTTTTTTTTTTTTAAAGAATTTCTATGTAGCCCAACGCAAATTTCAAATTTCCCATTCTCCTGCCTCAGCTTCCCTAGTGCAGGGATTTCAGGCTTATGATTCCATGCCTGGCTTCTCATTTCATTACAACTTTCTCTTTTGGAGCCTCGGCTGTCAGTGACCAGCACTCCTAATCAGATAGTTTGAGAGGGCAAAACACGAGGCAGGCAACTTACATTGGCTCCCAGTATGATCCGAAGGTAAAACTTCAGAGTTTCTTTGTTCTCCTCAAATATCTGCTTCTTCCCTCTTGTACCCACTTTGCCTTTGGGCTGCAAGAGGGATGGTGAGATGCTGTCAGCTTTTTTGCCTCGATCCTCACTCCTCGCACTAGCCCGGTTGCCTGCAGAACTTTCTCTGCGGTTCCAAGTCCTTACCGTGCTCTGTCAAACCTAGCAATCCCCGAGATGCCGCCACTCCTCCAGTCCACCCTCCCCCTTTAGTTAGGACACCATCTTTACAGTACCCCCAGCTGTGATCGACTAAAGCCCCGAAACCATCCAAACTAGGGTCTTCTTTGGCTCTCCTGTTAAGGTTCGAGGACCTCTCCGGGGGAACTCCAACGGAACTTAATACTGCCCCTCTCCAGCCTCTGGGGAAGAAGTTTAGATGTGGAAGTAATAACTGTCCCCCGCCTCCAACACTAGTTCTGGTATAGTCCTGCACTGCCTGCCACTCTACTCGCATCCCGTTCGCTCTATCACAGTCCACTGGATTGTGCCCCTCTCTGGCCCAGTGCCTTACGTCTTCATGTCCTTCGTGTTTTCACTTTCCCAACACCGGGAAATCTTTGCCGGCGCGGACCCCGCCCTATCTCTTACCGCCATGGTGCGAAGCAAATACCCAGCCAAGGAGACAAGGGCGAGTAACTGGAATTGCAGTCAGTAGACACCACATCGGCAACCCATGCACTTCCGGTACAGACCGAAATCGTCAGGATTCTGGACGGAAGTGGATTCCATTTCCTTCCCAGGCTCCGCCCTTGAGACGGTAGGACTACACTTCCCAGAAAGCTTTGCGTGGGGGCGGAAACGGCAGAGCTGCGATGGCGGACTCGCTGCCCCTGGAGGTGAGAGGAAGCGGTCCTCAGGCCTGGGTCGGGGACAGGCCCCGCCTTCGGGGTCCTGATCTCTGGGGAAGGGCTATCTGACAGCTCGCCCAGCAACTCCCGTCAGGCGGAAACGAACCGCCCGGCGGATCCCAGGACCTGCAAACAGTGGGTAATGGCTCGGTTTGGGGCCACTTCGACCCCTTCGGTTGGGATACCATCCTTACCTTCCCCATTGGCCCCAGAAGATGGCTGCTCTGTCACCTCAACGAGGACAGACTCTCTGCCCATCCCCTTTCCTTGAGATGAACGTTCCCTCCTCCTCAGTTCTAGAAGATGTCCGCTCCATCGTCCCTGAAGGGTAATCAATTTTATCCCCCCTTGGCCCCTTGGAATGCTCGCTCCATTTCCTCTGCCCCTCCCCCGCCGTCCTCGCAGTTGGAAATAGACTGCTCCCTCCCCATCAGTTCTGGGGACAGTACCTGAGGTCCTTACTAAGACCGGCCTACACACCTAGTGATGGTTGCCTCTGTATTATTCACCCATGGGATGTTTGTTTCTTTAGCCAGGGCCAAGACTACTCTGCCCTCATGGGCAAGGAGATACAGATAAAGGCTATGTGGCTTGAGCCCTTTTTGAAATGACTTCTTTATCCGTTTTGCCCTGAGGGTTGGAAGCCCCCCTCATTGTCCAGGGAATGTAGGCCCTTTCACATGAGTTCAGGAACACACACTCCTATTTAGCATAAATAGTGCCTGCAATGACATTTTATTCCCTTTTGGCTCCGTAGGTTATCCATTCATCCCTGTAAATCCCATGGGTGACCAGTAGTAGTCCCTTGGGGTGGTTTTATGGGAAGCCACCCTTTACCTCCTTTAATACCTCCTTTCTCAGCTTAATGAGTTATCCTTCCGGTGAAGACATGTTGTTTCTCTTTAACTTTGCTCCTGGGGTTGATCGTTCCAGAAGATAGGTCAGCCACTCACTTTCTTAGCCCAGTCTTCCCTCCTAGCCCACTAGGGACGGGGGCTTGGTCAGTGCAGTCCCATCAATAAAGATAATCTGCATTATCTCCCACCCCCTCCCTGAGAAAACCTTTGGTGAGAGTAGAGGTAAAGGACTCACCATCTTTAATCCAGTAAATATTGGCTGAGTACTGCCTGTGTACTTAGCATCTGAGAAGAAAAGGAGAAAATGCAATGGGCTAGTGAAATCATTACACAGAGACTTCCCAGAAAGAGCCCCACATATGGAAAAAGGATTAGACATGCTCTCCTGGCAGGAAGGATGGACTGAGGATGTCCTTCAAGCAGCAGGCCCAGCCAGGCATGGAGTTCTGGCAATGCTGACCCAGATATTTTGTTCTGAGATTATTGGGGAACCCAGAAGGTTTTCATCAGGAGTAGTGCAACTGGAAACATTTTGGAAAATTAACTCTGTGACTATATAGAATAGATTAACCAGAACATAGAGGCTGTGAAAGGAATCTAGGTCTAGGGGTCGATAAAATTTGGTGCTATTAATATGGTGAAGTTACAAAAGTAGAAATGTTAGTAGCAACCATCCGGTCCCTATAAAACTGATCTAGATTATTTTAAAATCTCTTCATTTCACACACACTACTCACACTGACGTTCAGAGAAGTTACATGCTTTGACTGGAGTTACTCATCTGGAAAGTAGTAGACCTAGGATTTGATGAGTTTGGGTTATCCTTGCCTAAAACTTCAGGTTTTTTTGAGTAAAGCATAGAAGAACATGAGCCCAAGTATCATTAGGAACCTCAGATTGGGAGTACTGATGGCATTAAAGGGTCATGTTGGACTGAGGGCAAAATACCAATTTTGGTTGACAGTTGGGTGACACTAGACTAAAGCTTGGTTAATATGATAACATAAAGCATTAAAGTGTTGACTATTCTTATGTAAGTAAACAAAATAAAAAGATTAAACCTTGGGAGACGTGGAGAATCAAAATAGAGCAGTTAGCATGACAAGGGTCTAGAAAACATTACCATAGGACTTGATGAGGGAAGATTGTAGAAAAAAAGAACAGTTAAAAGGTAGTTGTTACTGGCCTCCCAAGTGTCTTCTTTCTCAGTCCCAGATAGAGCCTCCTCCAGCCTCATCACCTATAGACTCATAGAGCAAGGAACAAACTTGCTGTGTTGTCCTGCCTTAGCAGCTAGCTGAGAAAACGAGCTGATAATGGAGAAGATAGGAAAAGAATAGGAATTCCAAAGTCAGGCATCATGGCTCACACTCACAGTCCTGTCACATAGTTCTAGCTAAGGCAGCAGAATGGCTGTGCCAGATGGAAGCCAGTCTGAGTACATAGTAAGTTCCAGGACAACCTAAGCTATATAGTGAAAACCTGTCTAAATGAAAGAAAAAAAAAAGATATAACATTTGACTTATATTCTATGGAATATAAGTCTATGGAAAACACTATGTTTTATAGCTTCTCACAAGATTTATTTCAATATCACAACAGTTGGCATTTCAGAGACAAGAAAAACAGGGCTCAAAGTAGTCAGCTAGCCAAGTGGGAACTTGGACTAGGTTTGTCTGGCCCCAGTGCCTAAGCTGTTTCTACCCAAACTGGGGATGAGTTTTGATTGTTACTTGGTACAATCCTGTACTAAGAAGTGAGTTGTGTTAGGTTCATTCTTAGGAGGCATGCTTTGAGGCTGGAGAAGGGAAGTAAATACTTCATGAAGCTCTGGATCCAAGATGGACTAGAGGCCAGTGCTCTGATGCCCTCAGACCAGAAAGGGATAGGTTCTAAAGGCCCTCCAGTTCTAATATCTCTTAAACACCTTATCTTTTCCCCTCAGATGCTCACTTATATCCTGAGCTTCCTTCCTCTGTCAGATCAGAAAGAGGCCTCTCTTGTGAGTCGGGCTTGGTACTATGCAGCCCAGAATGCCCTTCGGGAGGTAAGGTACCCACCTCACTTGGTCTATTCTGAGTTGTCACTTCAACTTGCTCATGGCCCCGTTTATACATTATCCATCTGTCCATCTATCCATCCATCCATGTGTTCTCATACATTTGTACATACTAGTCGTGGGGCACAGACTTGAAGTGTAAGGTGAATCAAACCTAGTCTCTTAAGAAACACGTTGTCCAATGGAGGAAAAGACAATTAGCATGAACGATTGTGATCCTGTGTGCCCAGTACCACAGCACTCAGGGTGAAACAAAGATAAGCACACCAAAATGAGATCATTCAGTAGCATCAGGGGAGACCTGAGAGAATAGGATGAGGATACATGTTGGTCTTTCTAGAACTGGCATCAAGATATGGAAGTTCTGAAAACAGTCACACAAGTTCCTAATAACTGGATTGAGTTTTGCATGTGGAATGTGATAGGAGACTAGAATGTGGTCAAGACTGCAAGGTGGCAGGTGTTCCAGGCAGCAGAGCTTGGGCTTGCTTCCAGTTATTGCTGTGTGGCCTTTAAGAAATGGTAAGGCAGGCAAGGGGCAGTGTAATCTGTGTCTTAGAACTCCACTGTGCAGAATGGACTAGACAGGTGAGAATGAGTTTGGGGAAGCAGCCCGGCCAGGAGGGGAACACAGACATCTGTATTATTTGCAAGGCAAGCAGTAATCTTGTGTTAATTTTGATTTAATTGTCAATGGGGTTTTTTTTGTTTTTGTCTCATTAGTTATTTGTGTTCTTTTTCCACTTAACTGGTAGACTCTTTGTAATTTGCTTGCCTGTTTGTATGAACTTTTTATACACTGAAGATTAATTCTTTAGGTGGGCAGTTGTGGTACATACCTTTAGATCTAGCACTTAGGAGACAAAGGTAGGTAGATCTCTGAGTTCAAGGGCAGCTTGGTCTACAGAGCAAGTTCCAGGACAGCCAAGGATACACAGAGAAACCCTGTCTCAAAAACAACAACAAAAAAGATTAATTCTTTATATATTTGTTAAAGTATATTCCTGTTTTCTCTTTCATTTTATTTGTAGACCACTATTTTTATTAATGAGATATAGAAATTAAACTTATACACTGTTTATTCTTTTCTTTTTTTTTTCTTCATTGGTTATTTAAAGATTCCTTATCCTCCAGAGATTTCATCAATGATACTCATGTTTTTATTCTTTTAAAAAATACAATGGAAGCTGGGTGTGGTGGTACATGCCTGTATCCCCAGCACTTTGGGAGGTAGAGCCAGGCAGATCTCTGTGAGTTTGAGGCCAGGTTGGTCTACATAGTGAGTTCCAGGACAGCCAAGGCTGCACAGATAAACCCTCTCTCAAAACAACAACAACAAAACAAAACGACTGAAACCAGGCACGGGTGGCACACACCTGTAATCCTAGAACTCTGGGAGGCAGGCAGATCTCTGTGAGTTCAAGGACAGCCTGCTCTACAAATCAAGTCCAGGACAGCCAAGGCTACACAGAGAAACCCTGCATCGTAAAACTAAAACAAACAAACAAACAAACAAAAACCTGTTTTGTTTTGTTTTTTTTTTTTAGAGTAGTGATTGGCTCAACGACAACAAAAAATGTTTTATGGTTTTAATGTTTTATTTTCTTTTTTTAATTTAATTTTTTTTGGACAGGGTCTGACAATGTAGACTAGGTTAGCCATGAACTCAGCAATCTACCAGTCTCAGCCTTCTAAGTTCTAGGTTATAGGCATGGGCACCACACCCAGATTGGCTTTAATTTTTATTGGCCAGAATTGTGCTTTATTCATGAAGCCTACTTTAATTTATATAATAAAGTATGAAGCCGATCTATTTGGTTTTCACATAGCTCCTACCTAATTTCCATCTACTCTTCCCTGTTAGGCTGGAAACCTCCTCTGTTACATGTCAAATGTGTGTGTGTAAGTAGAGCCTGTTGTTGAATTGTCTATCTGGTCTCATTGGTTTTAATATCTAAAGGAATTTTTTTAGACTTGTTGACAATTTTAAAGTATGAGATATCCAGATGGTAAGATTCAGTTGATTATTGAATAACTGTGCATATTGAATTGAATATTTCTTGAATATCTTCCAGAGAAAGGTATAGCTAATTAATATAAACTTGGGTGTAATTAATGACTGAGTAGTGTAGGGAGTGTAGCTCAGTGGTAGAATACTTGACTAAAATGTATAATACCCTAGTTTTGACCCCTAAAACTGGAGGGAAAAAATGGATGGAAGAAAAGCCCCACATCTGAGTAATTTCACCCCAGGAAAAAGTATAACAAACAGTGGAATGGCAGATTAAGACTGGAGCACTTAAAACCCTGACTGGATAATTAATACTGTAAAATTCATAGAGACTGGAAGGCAAAGCAGGAAGGTCAGGAGTTCAAGGGCATCACACGCCCAGTGGGATATGGTTCTGTACATCAGGAGATGAAGTAGAAGGGACACCGGCTGTTAAGGGTGAGGGTAACATGCATCAAGGGAGTGAAAGTTTAGGAGGAGAAGCAATTCAGAGATGGTGGATTCAGATTTAGACATTTCATATCAAGATTTCTAGAGTGTTCCATGAGGCAGTTGATCACTAATGTCTGGTGGAGGAAAATAATATAGATCAGAAAGTAGGTGGGGCCAGGCATGGAGGCACACATCTATAATCTCAGCACTTGGGAGATTCAGGCAGAAAGATTGCAGGTTAGAGTTACACTTGGGCAAGATTCTGTTTCATAAAACAACGAAAAGAAAAGAAGAAGAAAGGAAGCTAGGACTGGAGAGATGGTTTAGCAGAGTGGCTAAGAGTGCTTGCTGTGAGAGTATGAGGAGCGGAGTTCAAATTCCTAGCACCCACATAACCCACTCCAGTGCTGTGGTAGGCAGAAACAAGAGACTGGATGGGGCTTGCTGGCTGCCAGCCTAGCTCCAAGTTCAGTGAGAGACCCTGACTGAATGAGGCAAAGCGTAATAGAGTGGGACATGTGATGTCCTTCCCTGGCTTCCTCATACACCCACCACAGAGGGGACAAGAAAGATATATTGTGCCATAGGATGAAGTACAGTGTGACAAAGAACACGTAGAAGATGACGAAGATTGTACGTGTGTGTGTGTGTGTGTGTGTGTGTGTGTGTGTGTGTTGTCAGGTAGAACCTGCTCATTTCTGGTCTGGGTCTTGATGACTCCACAGAAACCAGTGAAAAACAGGCTAAAAGGCAAGAGAGCCAGGGCCACACTGGAGGTAATGGCTACAGCCCTTCCCTAGAAGGTGGTATGGGAAAGAGGGTATTGTGAGAGGTTAAAAGAGAAGCTCCTGCACGGTACTAATTTGCTGCGGGCCGAGTGGGTGAAGGTGGGGGAGAGCTGTGACCAGGATGAGTGATTCTGGCAGGAAGAAGTAAACAGATGAGGCAAAGGGAAACTTAAGTGGACAGACAGTGGATGTGAGTGTCTCCTTGTGCTTCTCGGAAAGAGAAAATTTGTAGAGATGAGAAAATGTACTATAGCATTCAGGAGACTGAGACAAGAAGATTGCTGTGAGTAAAAGGTCATCTTGGGCTACTTAGTGAATTCAAGGTCAGCTTGAACTGCTTAGTTGAACCCTGTCCCCCAAAACAAAATTAAAACCTATTGTTTGTGGATTCTTAGGAAGGACCAAAAGAAAGAGAAAAACAGTGGGATTCTCAGAGATGAGGTGACAGCAGCTCAGCAAGCCAGAAGAAGGGACTGTCTGAACCAAAAGACCAGGAGCTGGACATAGGGTTCTGTAGAAGGCAGGGCTTGGGTGCTTCTGAAGCAGAGCAGGCCATTTCTCACAGGCTAGGTTCTGAGACACTTTTGTAGCAGGCTCAGAGCAGGAGAAAATTGTGGACTTCATGAGAAGGGAAACACGGAGGAAGTGGGATAGGGAAGGCTGGCTTCCTTAGCAGTATTCTGTTATCTTCAGCCCAGACTGCAAGCAGGCAGCTGGTTTTGTTATCTGTGGCAAGAAGAGTGGGCACAGCAGCATGAGGGAAGAGGACTACAAGCCTTCAGGTGTTAAAATATGGTATTAATAGGGACTTTTTCTAATACCCACCCCAGCTCCCAAATAATGACACAGAGACCTATTACGTTATTAATAAGCTTCAAAGCACTATAGCTGGGCAGATACCCAATTATTCAAACCCGTCTACACTGGTCTGGACTATTTCTCAGCCACATGCCCTTTTACCTGCCGTCTAGTCTCACCCTGGCAGCTCCTGCACCATCCTTGTCCTCATGGCGACCTCCTCCCTTTTCTCTTCTCTCTCTACTGGTCCCTATCTCTTTTTCTACTGGTCCCTATCTCTCTTTCTACTGATCCCTATCTGAAACTCCCCTAACTGAGAATGGGAGTCCCGCCTCCTGTCCTCTCTACCCAGCTATTGGCTAATCAGTTTTTTTTATTAACCAATCAGATAATTGGGGAGCATTCTTCACACAACATTGATACAGAAGATTCTTCATAGAAATGACAATGCCTACTTTCAGACTGCAAGCAGATCTCAGGGCACAGAAATCAGCATTTGGATACATAGTTCACAAGACCATCCTCCAACACTTAGGAGAGAGAAGTCCCATAGAGACCAACAAGGAAGAGGAGGATGGAGGGAATGGTTAGGCTCCTGGGGATAGAAGGAGCAAGGAAAAAAGAAAGAGGCTAGGGTCTGTGGCTGCAATCTTAGTGGCCACTGTTATAGAGCTGGCATGGCTGCAGCTAACTGGCAGCTCCAGATCATGTTGACAGAGACCCCGCTAGGCTGAGAACAGTGGAAGGCCAAGCTATAGGTATACAGGCATCTAGGGCCCTGCCCATATGTCACCATTATTATATCTCAGAGAGCAGTCTACAGAGCTGGTCCTCCAAGGTCCAGATGTAGGTAGGTAGAGCAGGAGGCAATGCCACCAGCCGCTGGGACTATGGACAATAGTAGCCAACTAAGGCAAAGCTGGAACTAAATCTTGCCAAACCAGGCTAGGATACCTGGACTACGTGACTTCTGACTGCCCCTGGCCTCCTCATCTTGTTCGCTTAATTTAGGTGTACCCCAAATAATGATCAGCGACAGGCAGTGCCCCCACATGCTTCCAAGCTCTGCCCACTACCCTTTAAGTCCTGGGTGGCCACTGTTGGTCACTATGGAGCAGTTCAGGTTCTTTTCACTTCTGTCCTCCTGTTCAGAGTATTTGCTTCCTCTCCAGAGACTGAACCTCTGCACACTGGAGCTGTATTCACTGCAGTACCAAGCAGAGGGAAGTGTTTCTCTATTTTTGGAGGGCTCTCCAAGCCCGTACGCAAGCCTGCAGTCTCACCGTGAGACTACCTACCCTACATACAGAGTCCTGCCCTTCTACAATCAGAGACATTTCCAAAGCAACTGCATTTGCTCATAAGCTGTTAACATGGAGGCCAGGGACTGTCACCTGTTGGTGGAGTGGCCAAAGCTAGAACAGGTGCCCACTAGTCCTCCCTCAAGCCTCCAGAAGCAGGGTCTTAGGACCCAGAAAGGGCCACAGGTCAGAGCCCAGAAGCCCTGCCTTCACCTACCCCTCAAAGAAGTAAATATTCTGAAAAGACTTCCCTCTGACCCCTGTAATTCCATCCAGCTGACCTCAGGAACAGGTTGACCATTGTGTAAAGGGCTCTAGGCTTCTTGGCATGGCTAAGAATAGCCATGGTCAGGTCACTGGAGATGTGGCTCAGCTGGTTGAGTACTTGCCTCGCATGTACAAAGTCCTGGGCTCGATTCCCAGTATTACATAAAACTGAGAGCAGTGATGCTTGCCTGTAATCCCAGCACTTGAGAGGTGGAAACTAATCATAAATTTAAGGTCATCTGCTATAGAGCAAGTTCAAGGACAGTCTCAAAACAAAACAAAACAACTAGTATGGTCTCAAGTCTACTCTCTTCCCAAGTAGCTGGAAATCCTCTAGGCCAGACCCTACCTATTTGTCTTGTAGCTGTCAACTATGGACTGCACCCTGGGGTGATAGCCAGTGTCTTCTCTTAGCTTTTTGTCCTCCTTGTTTACAGAAAGATAGTGGGAAATGGCAAAACATTCCTGGCCGCTTAAGCTCCCAGGAAGAGTAGGAAGTGAGTTCCTTTGTGCTTGTAGCTTTTAGCACAGAGCGGCTCTTAGGTTCCTAAGCTGCATGAGTGGTGGGGGTGAGCGCTGCCTGGGCAACTGAGCTGCTCATAGCTCCTCCAGCTCTGGTTTACTCTGTATTAGACTGACTCATGTGGTGTGCAGGGCTTCTCAGTGGCTGGAGTCTGCTTTCACTTTTCTTTCTACATCCTTCTGTGATCTTTTTATCTCTTCCTTAAATCCAACTGTCCTTAAATCTGAGAGAGGGACCTAGGTCTTTGGAGTCTCCACTACCCTATAGCAAAGGGGATCTGAAGGGGACCTGTGGTGAGTGCTCCTCCTCGTGCAGGGAGCAGGGAACAACCACAATCTAGAAGTGGGATCAGGAAGGGGATCATGACGAGCTCCTGATTCCTGTGAGAGAGACAAGGAGATGGTCCCTATATTTTTCCATTTTTGAGAGAGAGTTTCATGTAGCCCAGCCTGGTCTCAACTTCTCATGTAGCCAAAAATGACCTAGAACTTTAAAAAAATGTATTTATTAATACATATGAGCACTCTATTTGCATGTGGTCCTGCATGACAGAAGAGAGCATCAGATCCCATTACAGGTGGTTGTCAGCCACCATGTGGTTGCTGGGAATTGAACTCTGGACCTCTGGAAGAGCAGACAGTGCTCTTAACCGCTGAACCATCGCTCCAGCCTGACTTAGAACTAATGATCCTCCTGCCTCTACCCCTGCCTGGTTTCAAAAATTCAGGGTATGGGACTTAGGGACTTGTGCTGGACAACCAACTACTCCACCAATTGAGTTATTCTCAGCTGCTCAGTTCTTGCCTCTTACCTGCCCTCCTTCCCACCATGACAATCATGGTGGCTGTCTCTGCTAGGCTGTTTCTTCCTCTTTACGTATCGATGGGTCATGTGTTGGCTGGGAGGATACGGCTGCTAAGATTCTGCTGCTGCATGTCAGTGCTGCCTTTTTTGTGTCCTGTTGGTTGTTGTTCTGAGGAATACAAAGAACAGTAGTGTTTTTGTTGTTGCTGACAAAGGTGTTTCCCAGAATTCAGCTTTCCCGCATCAGAACTAATGGTAGAATTAATGCCTTCTTTGTGTGTGTGTGTGTTGGGGGAAGGGGGTAGGTTGGGGTTCAAGACAGGTTTCTCTGTGTAGCCTTGGTTGATCTGGACTTACTTTGTAGACTAGGCTGGCCTTGAACTCACAGAGACCCTCCTGCCTCTGCCTCCCTGAGTGCTGGGATCACAGTGCTGCGCCCAGCTGAACTTCTTAGAGAACCATTTTCCTGCTACTTAGGCAACGGTAGGGAGATTGGACTAGGTGATTTTTTTTTTTTTCCTGAAGATCCACTTGGCCTCACACGTGCTAGATAAGCACTCCACTAGTGAACTGCACTACCAAGCTAGTGGATACGATTTTGGAAGTCCAGCTATCATCTTGCCTGCTTCAGATCTAGCCCATGCAGATTGTGCTCACTTCCCTTAAGTCCTTTTGGCATGAGACCAGGGAAGGTTCTATGAAAGTATTTCCCTTAGTTGGGTGCTCCCAAACTCCTGCCTAAGCCATCATGTTGCCACATCTTAAACCTGAGCTTGGCTCCTGGGTTGTACCTTCATTTCAGCCATTAGCTTCTCATGCTTTCCCAGTCAAGTCCAGCTTAGGGTCCGTGGCTTCTCGGGTTTATCTGGGGTCCTGCCCCTTGCAGAGATGTGATACAGATGTTCCAGGCAGCCTCACATGGGGTTTCTCCTGCGGAGATGTGAAACTGGGTGTTCCAGGCAGCCCCATGTTACAGTGTGCGCATGCACACACACACACACACACACACACACACACACACACACACACGGATGCACACAACAGTTGTTACAAATATTCATGTGGTTGAGGTACTCAGGCCACCAGAGGACTAGGCCTCAGTGCTTATTCCTCAGTGCTAATTCCACTCTTATTCCAGAGTGATCCAGTGCTCTGATACCTGGACTACAGAAGTTGAAGAACACCTGATGCACTTCTGTCCTTCAGTCTTCTCAATACTGTTTATGTCCTGTGGTTACTTAGATAATGCCAGTATCCTGGCTGGGTCTGTGGAGCTCACGATCTTAGACTCTGAAGATCCAGCCTTCTTTGTCCTCCCACCCCATGAAGGCATCTGTGGGTATCCAATAGGTTACGGCCCTCCTGTGCTCAGTTGGCTAACTCTCCACTCTCCTTGCCCTTCTGTGGCCATCTAATATTGTCCTTCACTTACCTTCCTGCTGGTCCAGTAGTCATTCCCCTCCCAGTCCCGGCATGATTTGTCTTTCTGCTTCCTACTTTCTCTTCCCAGTTCCCACTTCCTGCCTACACACTCCTCAGCTACACATGACATACACACCAGGGAGGGTACTCATTGTAGAAGGGCCTTTCTTGACTGTCTTCAACCTTTGAGAAATCTAACCTCAGGCCTGCTGCTGCCCTGTAGACAAATGTGCGCTACAACATTCCTGTGTCCTCTGCTTCACTCTCGGTCATCAAGAGTTTGGGCCTCAGGGGCATTTCATGCATCAGTTTGATCAATCTGGATGGCTCGCCAGCTTCGCACCAGGTACTACAGTCTGTTGCTTACCACCTAGGCCCACACCTGGAGAGTTTATGCCTGGGTGGGGGCAGCCCTACAGAGGCATCCTTCTTGGCCCTGATCCTGGGATGCCCAGCCCTTCACACCCTTGATCTCAGTGGCTGCAACAGTCTCTTTACATCAGGCACTCTGCTGGCTCAGCCTGAGACAGCACAGTGTGTCCGAAAGGCATTGAGTGGCCTCCGTGATCTTAACCTGGCTGGCCTGCGTGACCTGACTGACCTCAGCTTCAACCATCTTAGTGGTTGTTTTCCCAGCCTAGAGCGCCTCTCCTTGGCCTACTGCCGTCTTACCTTTGAATTAGGCCCAAACTGGGGCTCCGTTAGCCCCCAGGTTTCCTCTTCCTCCCAGCTTTCCTTCCACAACTTGCTACAGTTCGTCAAGGAACGAGCTGGTAGGCTGCGTGCCTTAGACCTCAGTGGTACAGGCTTGCCACCTGAGGCCCTGAAAGCCCTGGGCCAAGTGACTGGACTGCAGTTGAAAGAGCTGAGTTTGCACAGCTGTAGAGACCTCTCCTCAGAGGCTGTGGCTACCCTGTGCCTCCAGCAGCCCAGCCTTACTTCATTGGACCTTAGTGGCTGCTCAGAACTGACTGACAGGGCACTCTTGGCTGTGAGCCAAGGCCTACGACACCTGCGGCACTTGAATCTGAGGAAACTGCAGAGATTGACCGACGCAGGTTGTACAGCCCTGGGGGGCCTGCATGAATTGCAGAGCCTGGACATGGCTGAGTGCTGTCTGGTGAGCGGTCGGGAACTGGCCCAGGTCCTAGGCTCAGTTCACAGAGCTCCACCTGCACTGACTTCCCTCAGGCTGGCTTACTGCTCTTCACTAAAGGTGAGCTGCTTTCCCTCCCTTCTGTCGAGGGTACCTGGGGGAGGTGGGCATCTGCCCCAGGGAGAGGCTACCCAGAGTTTGTGTCCCAGGCATAGTAGTTGGAAGTGAACTTGGGACATGGCCTGGAGGAGAACAGGAGCTTAGACAGATAATATGGTAGCACATGCCTGGCCAGGCTCATGAAGTGATCCTACACCATATATGACTTCTGGAGGGAGGAAGCCTAGAAAGAAGGAGTGGTAAAGAATGCTAGGAATGGTGGCGCACATCCTTAATCCCAGCACAGGAGGCAGAAGCAGGTTGATCTCTAAGTTCAAGGCTAGCCTGGTCTACAAAGCAAGTTCTGAGTCAGCCAGGGCTACACAAAGAAACCCTCACTCCCCACCTTCAGAAAATGATGTTCTATTGTATTGCACTAAAGATGTTCAGTAGCCGTGGCTTTAGGGTGGGTAATGTCACTTGGGAGCCACAGGGTCACCTCTTGGTTGAAGTCAAGGGCTCAGCATTGTTCTAGGGGTGTCATTCCTATCTGAGAATATCAATTGTTCCCTCTTGGGTGGGTTATCCCTTTAACCTTTTATGACAAGAGCATTCCAAACTTAAAACCTATCTCAACTTCATTTCATGGCAAGCCCTCCCCCCCTAACCACTCCTTGGCCACCAGTCTCTTAGCTGTTCTACCAGTTCTCATGTTCTCATGCTTCCACAGTTCCCTCTGAATCTACATCCAGATTCTCCGCTCTGCTTTCAGCTCCTGCTGCCCCCAGCTTCTCATGGTGGTAGCAGTCTTAATACTTGAGGTTCAAATTCCAGAAGAAGTGCATCTGATTGGTTCGTCTGTCCACTCCTGGTCCGGTGGGCTCTGGTCAGGGTTGCCTCAGTCCATCCTTTAAACCGGGCTGTGAGCACAGGCATAGCAGCTGCCTTACAAATATTCTTCCTGCATTCTTCCTTGTGCCACCGATAGTCTTAGCATTTGTCTTTCAGGCCTCTAGGCCTCCCACCCCTTACTGCCCACACTGAGCATTCCAAACTTTCACAACCAGCACAGGGACCATGCTGCTTTCCTCTTTGGGCCCTCTGGCTGAGGAACCTCATTCAGACCCTTGCTGGTGACCTCTGCCAAGCCTGGAGGCACAAGCTGCTGCTCTTTCCCTTCTGTCCTCCTAGGATGCCTCAGTGCTTTCCATGATCCCAGCACTGGGCCCAAGCCTCAAGGTGCTAGACTTGTCCTCATGTGTGGCCCTCACTAACCAGACCATGCAGGCCATCTGCACCTACCTTACTCACCTGTCAGTCCTGCGCCTGGCTTGGTGCAAGGAGCTCCAGGACTGGGGGCTTCTGGGCTTGAAGGAGCCAAAGGATGAACCTGCACTAAGTCCCCAGGTATGAGGTGACCTTGTCTTCAGCTGCCCTTCTGTGCTTTCTGAATCTTTGGCAAAACTTATGAAGAACCTGAGGAGGGTTTCTTCCTACAGCTACAGCAAGCTCCAGACCCACAGGGCCATTCCCTGATCATGCTTCAGGCCCTGCAGGAGTTGGACCTCACAGCCTGCAGCAAGCTGACTGATGCCAGTTTGGCCAAGGTGTGAATAAACTGAGGACATTAGGGCTGGTGCTACAGGACTGGGCCAACTCACTGTGCTAGGAGTCCTTTCTCTTTGGTTTCTGGTAGAAGCAAGGAACCTGGGAGGGGCCTAGGCTTTGGGTCCCAGTGGCTATTCTATATCATTCTTGCAGGTGCTCCAATTCCCTCAGCTGAGGCAGTTATCATTGAGCCTGTTGCCAGCATTCACAGACATGGGCTTGGTAGCTGTGTCTAAGGGCTGGCCCAGCCTGGAGCGCTTGGCATTGAGTCACTGCAGCCACCTCAGTGACGAGGGATGGGCTCAGGCAGCCAGGTTCTGGCCAAGGCTGCAACACCTCAACCTGTCCAGCTGCAGTCAGCTCACAGAGCAGTGAGTGTCTGATGGCGTTGCACTGAGTAGATGGTGCCACAATGCGTGGACTGGGCTTGGGTCTCACATTGGGTCAGGCACTCATCCTGTGGCCTCCTCGCAGAACTCTGGATACCATTGGGCAGGCATGCAAGCAGCTTCGAGTGTTGGATTTGGCCATGTGTTCTGGCATCAGCATTGCAGCCGTCAAGCGCTTTCAAGCACAGCTGCCTCAGGTGACCTGCATCCAGTCTCGCTTCGTGGGAGGGGCTGATCTGACCCTAACGCTTTGAGGCCAGGTCAGTAACTATCCCTGAAGCTCATCTGCCTTCACCAGTATAAGCCTTAGCCCAGGCCTTTGGACTTGAGTTTGCCCCAGTGCCTCCTGCCTTCCCTTCCTCTAGAACCTTTTCTAAGATTCAGGATGGAGCCATTCCAGGATACGTGCAGCACCAGAGTACCCCACAGATGGCAGCAACGTCTTTCCAGCTACACTTGCTGCCATGGGCCCTTTAAAGGTCAGACCCACAGGTGAGCTGGGCCTGGTGCTGGGGCAGGCCAGACCCTGGCCTCCTGCCCACCACTACTCAGGCCTAAAGCCTTTGTTCTGCCTGCTCTCCAGGGTCCTCTTCCAACCCTCCTGAGTTTTAGCAGTCAGTCAATCCACCCACTTCATTGTAAACCAAAACAAGATTAAAAATTCCAGATTTTATGTCTTCCTCTGATGTTCTCAGATTAAAAGGGGCTTCCCTTCTCCATCTCAGTTAACCCAAACAACACTGACTCTAGATGCCTAACTCAACTAGGTCCCAGCTTCCTCCACATGGGAGATTTTGGAGGACTTTCCCAACATCTCCCTCCTCACCCCCGTACCCCCAGCATGACCTGCTGCAAAGGGACTAGTCCTAACCAGACCTGGGAGTAAGTAACTTCACCAGGCATGTGCTGTCTTGAGGTAGGGTAGGAAATAGGACAGCATCTCTGAGAATAGGAGGGTCATATGTGGTCATGTAGTCCAAACCGTGAGAACAATGCCAGTAACTTCTCAGTAGCAGCTCTGAAGTAGCCTATCCAATTTCTCCTCTGTGTGTCCCAATACTTTGTCTGTTTATCAGTTCGAGAAAGCAGTTAGCCTATGCTTCATGTTGGGATTCAGAAGTGCCATTGTTCTTTCAGTCATCAAACCTGATAGGGAGGCAAATAAGCCAGCAGGCAGGAACAGTATGGTATGCAGGGCATGCATGAACAGAAAAATAGCACTGAGGGCAAGGACCTAGAGTAGCAATAAACTTAGAGGTCAAAGAAGGCATCAAAGCAATAAAAAGGGGCATGGAGGTCAGATAGACAGACTGGAACTGGTTCTGGTTTGGAGGGATAGTGTAGGCCCTGGTTGGATACAGGGAGAATGCTAGCTTGGCAACAAGAACCCTGAAGACCAAATGGAAGGACTAAAACACATGTCTATGCAACTCAGCAGCTCAATTCAGTACTCAGTCATGGTAACCATAGCATTCAACAACAGTGAGGTACAGAACAATATAGGATGTGTCTTAGTAACTGTTCTATTGTTGTGATGAAATACTATGACCAAGCCATTTATAAAGAAAGGTATTTGAGGGCTTGCTAACAGTTTCAGAGGGTTAGTCCACACCATCATGGTGGGGAGCATGATGACAGGGAGGCATGGTACTGGAGCAGTAGCCAAGAGCAGCAGGCAGAGTGAGCTAGATTGGGCTTGGTATACTCCAATTACATACCTCCCCTAACAAGGCCGCACCTTCTAATCTTTCACAAACAGTTCTACCAACCGGGGACCAAGCATTCAAACCTATGAGCTTATAGGGGCCATTCTCATTCAAACCATCACAGGGAGTATATATGAGTATATAATCGTACTCCAATTTGTAGCATTGGAGTGGCAGCTATTGATATTCAGAGGAGCAAGACTAGAAGCCAGAAGTTAGGGGTTATTCCAAAATGGTGGTAGCATGGGACAAATAACTGAAGACACTGAGAAGAATTGACTGGGACACTGACTGAAACTGGGACCCCTATTGTCTGTTTCTATTTTGAACTCAAGTCTGTTCTAAGTGCGGTAGCAAGGCTCTGTGCCCAAGCATGGACTCTCTGAAGATTGGAAATGTAGGGGTTTGTTTTGTTTTTATTTTTTTGTGAGGTCAAGTGTTTTGCTAGCACTTTCTCCAAAGGAAATGTCATCTAATCAATTTTTAAGATACAGCATTAATGACTAGCATGTTAAACACAGTATTTGAGGAGTAATGAATGGCATATAGAAGTTATTCAGGCTAGTGTCAGCTTTTAGCCTACCCAGTGGAGCCTCTGGGTTGCAATTATTTGTCTTGGGGGCTTGGGTTTGGTGACTGTTGCCTCCAGCTGGACCCACCATGTCTCAGCACTGCCTCCTGCCCTTACAGACTAAGCAGCTTGTCTGTGGTCACCACCACACATACAGATCACCAGTAAGATCTTAACTCTCTTATGTAAATCAGCCCCTTCAGATTTGACAGACTTCTCTTCAGTTTTGCATCTTTCCCTCCTGCCTCTCGCCAAAGGCCACAGAGGCCAAAGGCTAGGACCAAGCAGGGTTGAGAGATGAGGGCAGACTGTGAGGAGCCTTCTGAAAGCATGGCTGCCAGACAGACCACTGTTGCCAGTGCCCAGGAGGGCATCCTTTTGGGGCAGTGCATCCTGCCCTGCTACTTCTCACATCAGCTGCCCAACATTCCAGTCTCTTCTTTGGCTGCTCAGATGACAGGTCATCTTTCATGTCTAAGGAAGGCAAGGACTCACTTCAAGAAGGACAATAGTCTCTACCTATCCTCACCCAACACCAGCCTTCCAAAGGTAGCCACTTAACTTTGTGGTCTCAGCTAGTACCCTTATGTTTGAAGACATGTCCATCTTTATCAACAGCCTTAGCTCACAGGTTCAGAGGTGGTATGACACATTCCTACAAGCCAAGCTAACTTTATTTCTGCTAGAGGCTCTGCTGGTGAGGTTGTGATTCTCAACCCTCTGCTACAGCAGCACCATGACTTCAGTCAAGGCTCAGTGATGCTGTAGTCATAGCAGAAGTTAAAGTTGGTAGGGGGTGGAGGTACTGGGGGAGGCTGCTCAGGAATGGGCACATTCTCCAGTTCCAGCAACCGCAACTTAGTCTCCATAGTAAGCAGCTGCTCCAGGTCTAGCCGAGTCTGCTCACTGCTCATGGTGCTGCCCAGCAGGGCACTCAGCCCATCTGTCCACAGGTTGAACTAGGGATGGACAGGGCCAATTCTGTGAGGGCCTGACCATCTGATTCACCCTGCCCATCTGCCCAGTAGCCTGGCCCGGACACTTACATCCCGTTTGGAGGGAGCAATGAAATTGAGGTATGCTTCTTCATCCCCATGGTCATAGCTGATGGAGAAAGCCAACTCATAGAGATCCTAGGAAAGTGGGAGAAAGGACACTGAGTAGGGAACAGGTAGCAGAGGGGTCTAGATGGGACGGAGCCTCTGACCCTACTGCAATCACCTTGTTCTGCTTCCCAGAGCCTTTCTCCCGCATGTGGGGGCAGTCCTTGCCCATCAGGAGTGCCCTGATGTCTGCCACAGGGACTGCAGAAAAAAGACCTGGCTGACCACTGTGGCCCAAGGCTGACCCGATATGGGGCATCTAGGGAGAGGAAGAACAGGTGTAGGAGCCCTAGCCCTGCCCTCCTTACGCTGCTCGGGTAGGCTTTCTAGGGTGGGTGGGTTGGCGCCCTCTTCCACATCCCCATACTGAAGCACTTTGTGGTTGGGGGATAAACAGCAGAACCACAGCTTGTCTGCAGAAAAGCAAAGAGAGAAGTGATAGGAGGGGCTCTGACCCCAAACAACCCCCTCCCCACCCTTAGCCCATTCAGAGACCCTGGCGTCTCCGGCTGCTGATCTTGCGGAAGAGCATTCCCTCACAAAGTCGGAGCAAACGCTGCTGGCGGATTAGACCCATGAGCTCTGGCTTCAGCTTCTCCCTCAACTCCCTGGATGGAGAGTGGAAGTTATTAACCAGGGTTGACCTGGAGCATGGCCCACAGGGCACTGGGGAAGGTAGGGAGTGAGACTGGAGAATCCTGCCAACTCACAGTATAGGAGGGGCCAGTGTGCCCTCCTGGTGCATCCGCTCTGTCTGCCGCAGCTTCAACACTTCCCCATAGGTGAGGGCGTTTACTTTGGTTCGGAAGAGCTCCAGGGAGGTGGGCTTCAGAGCCAGGGTGCGAGCTAGTTGCTCCCGAACCACCTGCATTACCTAGGACCACCCAAACTCAGTGTAGGACCTGTGTTCAGGACTCCTTTTCAGAAGAGCCCCCTGGCCTTGCTGTTTCCACCCCACCCACCTTATCAAAATCCTCCTGTGTTGCCCGCATTTCCTTCCAGGTCTTGTTCAGCAGCTGGATAGCAACACAGAAGAGCTCATGGAAACTATGGTCTTGGCTGAAGAACATGGGTGAGAAGTCCTGGGCTGTCTCGGAGCCTGGAGTGGGGGGGCAGGAGGGGCTCAGGGAGAAAGTGTCTACAAGCCCCTGGCCCTCTCTGCCCTTCCGTCCCTGTCCCCAAACACGCTGGATCCAGCCCAACTCACAAGGCTCCCCAACATGGAGCAGCTCACATAGCAGCACTGTCAGCTGGATGCTGCTCCGGGCAAAAGGGCATTCATGCTTGTCCTCTCGGCTACTGTTCTCCAACACAAACTGAGGCCATGGGAATAAAAAATGGCAACATGGGCTGGAGAGGTGGCTCAGCCGTTAAAGGCTAGGCTCACAACCACAAATAGAAAAAAATGGCAACATGCTCTCCACAGAGACCCTGATGAAGCTGAGTGGCTGCCACCTCCACTCCCACCCGTTACTAACCCGGCTGTATGCACTAGGTGCTTGTCTGGAGAAGTAGAGCATGTTGTCCAGGGCTAGCAGGCCAGGGGGCACACGCTCCAGGTCCTGGGCTGGGTTGCTGTTCTAGAGATGAGAGTACAGGCAGCTCAGGAAGGGCCACAGTTCTACAATAATCTAGCCAGGATGGATGTTTGGGTGAGAACTCAGTTCGGGGTAACTCACAGAGAAGCCTAGCTTGCGGAACTCTCGGACACAGAGAGAACGGCGGCGGTCAGCACTCAGTCCTGTGCCCAAGGACTCCCCCTCTGGTTCAAAGGCCGCCTGACGCAGGGCCTGCAGTTGTTCCCGCTGTTCCTGAAGTCAGTGGAGAGGGGCATGTCAAGATGATAGATTCAAAGCAAAAGTCTAGGCAGCCCTCCAGCCTTCATACCCCTTGCACCTGGCTGTAGGGGTCAAGTGGTGTCCGCATCCGTGGTTCCAGCAAGCCCAGTGTAAGAGCCTGCAGCACATACAAGTGATGAGCCATCTCATCGCCCATGGGTGCTGCACTGTGGATGATGTTCTGGAAGACAGCCAGGCTTGAGTGAGACTCACTCACTGGGAAAGGGAGACTAGAAGTTCTCCCTGGCCTGGTCCATCCTACCTTGTAGATGAACTGGCGAAGATTCCTCTGCCATAGGTAGTCAAGCATGTGCTGCGATGGGTGAGAAGGGGGCTTAGATGATTTTGCTCTGAGCTGGAGCATCATTTGGTCACCTTGGACAGAACACTCACCTTGCGATCAGCTGGGCTGGCCCCTTGCAGCAAGGCCGTGAGCAATGCCATAGCCT